TAATACTTGTTTATGGTGTCATCAGCCTGGACATATGGCAAAGTCTTGCCCTTTTTTGATACAGAGATATGCTACATAGGTTAGGTCAGGCAACAATACTCAGAGGATATCTGGCAGACCAAGAGCTGTGGAGTCTACAACTTCTGTTCCTTCTCAAGGTCAGACTCGTTAGAATGTTTAACCTCGAGTCTATGGATTGTCCCAACAAGAAGCTAAAGGGTCTCCTGACGTTGTTACATGTATATAATTTAATTAAATGTCAATGAAAGATTTTATATGAAAAGAATGAACAATGAATGTCATGTCTTATAAATAAATATTATGATCTTTTTATGATTAGAAACAATCCTTATTTGTGACAGACCTGTTAAAATTTTGTTTGATACTGGAACGTCGCATTCTTTCATTTCTGAGAATTTTGTTAGATCAATCAATTTGCTTTCAACAAATATGATTAGATCACTATCAATTTTAATGCCTAATGAAAATCATATGGAAGCTAAGCAGAAATGTCATGTGGATTTGAGGATTTGTGATAAGAACTTAGAGGCGAATCTTATTGTATTACCCTTGTCAAAGTTTGATGCAATCTTAGGCATTGATTGGTTATCTTGCCATTTCTTGACTATAGATTGTAACAAAAAAGAGGTTAAGTTTTATATGTCAGGAGAGAGGAAATTCAAATTTCAAGGGGATAAAGGGATAATAGATGTGATTGTGTCATATCTGAAGGTTTTTCAAATATTAAAGAAATGATATGAAGACTTTTTGGCCTATGTTAAAGAGGAAAAGAAAGAGGACATATAAATAAAATATATCCCAATTGTTCAGCAATTTCCAAAAGTATTTTCAGATGATTTACTTGACTTTCCTCCAAATAAAGAAATATATTTCTCTATTGAATTGGTGGCAGGAGCTGAACCTGTTGCTAAAGCTCATTACAGAATGACAATAAAAGAACTTAAGGAGTTGAAAGAACAACTATAAGAGTTGCTTGAGAAGGAATTCATCAGGCCTAATACCTCCCCTTGAGGTGCTCTTGACTGTTTGTGAAAAAGAATGATGGAAGCTTAAGACTCGATATAGATTATAAAGAGTTGAATAAGTTGACAACGAAGAATAAGTATCCTCTCCCAAGGATAGATGATTTGTTTGATCAGTTGAAAGGTGCTTCAGTGTTTTCAAAGATTGATTTGAGGTCAGAATATTATCAGCTCAAGATTAGAGAGGAAGAAAATGCAAAGACAACTTTCAGTAGCAGATACGAGCATTATGAGTTTGTAGTGATGCCTTTTGGTTTGACCAATACTCCTACAGTGTTTATGAATCTCATGAATAAAATTTTTAAGCTATTTTTAGATCTATTCGTGACAGTATTCATAGATGACATACTTGTTTATTCCCTAGATGAAGAACTGCATGCAAATCACTTAAGGGCTGTGTTACAGGCATTGAGAGGAAATGAATTGTATGCTAAGTTCTTCAAATATGAGTTTTGGTTAAGAAGTTTAAAATTTTTGGGGCATGTGATTATTGATGGGAAGTATCTGTGGATCAGTATAAGGTGCAAGAAATAACAGATTGGCCAAGACCAGCTACAATGACTGAGGTTGGGAGCTTTTTGGGATTGGCAGGCTACTACAGCAGGTATGTTGATGGGTTTTCACAGATAGTTATGCTACTATCCAGATTGACTCAGAAAGTAGTGAAGTTTAAATGGACAGCTCAGTGTGAAGAAGCTTTTCAGAGGTTAAAGCAGTGTTTGATAGCTGCTCCAGTGCTGACTATTCCCTCATAGTTAGATGGATTTCAGCTCTATAGTGATGCATCACATAAAAGGTTGTGTTATGTACTGATACAGAATGGAAGAGTCGTTGCCTATGCTTCAGACAGAAAGAACAGAACAGAACAGAAAAGTCATGACTGTATAAAAATAAAAAATACAAAATACCTAATCACAGATCAGACTCAGAACGTCTAGTCCAAGACCTCATTCCCTTTCCCAGAACCTGAAAATCACGCAGAAAACAAGGATGAGCTAACATCTCAGTAAGACATCAATCACCCATCAAAATCATCAGAAACTCACATCAGAAAACGTATCAGAAAAGTATCCGTACAGAATTCAAATTATCGTACAGAAATCGTATAACAAACAGAACAGATAATAGCTCAATCAGAAATCAAACATCGGATACGAAAAACTGAAGTCATATCAAAATCCCAATTCAAATCAGAGATCATAAAGCTTCAAATCACATATCAGATAGGATCGTACAGAATAACCAATAACGTACAGAAGTTATAGCAGAAATAATCACATTACAGCTTTACAGAACAGATAATTTCAGAACAGAACTTCCTTCCAGATGTCGGAACTTCTCCTTATATCTCCCTTATGCTTATAGTACCAGAACTTCCCCTTATGGATCCCTTTTGTGCTTATAGCACCATAACATAACATATATACAAAATTTCAGATTTCAGCTTCCCTTATGTCTCCTTTCCCGAACCTAGACAACGAAATCACATAGGATTCCGGCCCCTTATAACTCCCTTTTGATAGCATACAAATAATCAATTCATTCAAATCATCTTATTTCAGAAATTCAAAAATCATACGAAAATTCAGCGGAATAACGACAGTATACGAAATTTACACAAAATTCACAGATTCAGAAATTTATCAAATTACCACAGAACATTCACAACAATATTATAAGACTTTCATTGTACTGACAAAATATTTTTCAACATCCTGATAATTTGCAGTTCAATTAAAACACCGCAGAATCCAAAATGTCCGGTAAAAATCTTCCAGAAAATACTCAAAACGTGCATAATTATCATCTCAGAGATATACCAAAAGTTACGCGGTAAAACCTTTGTCAGAAGAAAATAATACCAGAAATTCGCTAACGGAAACAAAATCCGGAACAGAAAATGCGTCAAAAATCTCGTTTCTGAAAATTGAGAAAGGCGGAATGTGTCTTACCTCGAGTCGGTCAACTTCTCTAACTACAGCAACGAACGAAAACGGACCGGAGTCGGCCAAAAATCCTCTTTTCCTTCTTTTTCTTCATTTTTCTCTCCTAGACGTCCTTTTTCTTTCCAAAAATATCTCATTCTTATATATCCAGACTGATCGTCCCGGACGATCGCAACTTCGTCCCGGGACGATTTGGGCTCTGGACGAATTTCGTCCAGACGAAACTAAATAATGTCCCGGACGATTTTCGTCCAGACGATCCGAATTTCATCCAGACGAACCATGCAGCCAGAAATGTTTTTCTGCACAACCTGTACCGATCGTCCCGGACGATCCAACTTCGTCCGGACGAACCTGGGAGCAAAATGGTCTTTACAGTATATGACTAATCCAGGAGAGGATAGAGGACAAGCACAGATGAAGCCTGCTACTGGTACCAAAGAGGGTCGACGGTAGGTTTGCATGGATATTGACAGATTTTTTTTTTAGAATGCCATACCATTTAATGTTGCGACATCGCCGGCCTACTTCAATATGTTGCGGTCTCTAGGGTTGTATAGGAGAGGGTTGAAAGCACCTTCCATGTACGAGTTGCGAACATTGATTTTGAAGGAGTTGAAGAACACAGAGCAGAGCATTGATGAGATCAAACGGATATGGATTGAGACAAGTGTTACCATTATATCAGATGGATGGTCTGATATGAAGAGGAGCTTGACTAATATCATTGCCAATAATCCTTATGGCACGGTGTTTTTACGATCAGTTGAAGCTTCAGATGAGGTTAAAAATGCTAAATTCTTTTTCAATTTACTAGATGGGGTTGTTGAGAAGATTCGGGAGCAATTGGTTGTTCAGGTGGTGACTGACAATGCCATTGCATACAAAGAAGCTGGTCAGATGTTGATGGAGAAGAGGAAACACCTATATTGGACCCCCTGTATCGATCTCATATTGGAGGAACTTGGTGATTTACCTCAACACTATACTTTGGAATATTATTTTATTGCATCTATTTTCTTATTTTTCACTAATTTCACTTGTCATTTAGATATTTTTATTGTATGATAGAATCTTACTATTATTTATCTGCTAAAACTCTTAAATTCTCATTTACACAATTCTCGTCCGTGAGGCTTACGCCTTAGACCGCCTCACCTCACGAATGAAAAATGCCTCGAGACTTATTTACGCAATTTTAAACCTTGATCTAAACCATAAAGTTGTTGCTGCTATATACTGGGTACTAAGTGACTATCTAACTACTAACCTGAATTGAAAATTCTTTCTCATTATTGGGAGATGTGATAAACGATAAGGGTCTGAGCCTATGAGAAACTGAAACATAGATCACAAAGTTCTCACAAAATGAGGGGAAAATCTTTGGGTAGTGTCTTATTTAAATATTAATCTGCCTTTTGAAAATAGAACTCTAAAACATAATCTAGATAAAATTTTTCCCATCAATAAAAAGCTGCAGAGAGATTGGGCCACAAAAAATTTTCGGAGCCCACATGGGGTCTCAAGTCTAACCCACCGATAACAAATAGTGCTAATAAGATATTTGTCAAATATAATATCATTTATAAGCTGATTACATACAAATTGTGTTACGTGCGCTAGTTCAAATAGATACAACTATAGAAAAAAAAAAAAATCATTCTGATTAAATATGCAATGACAACGAATCAGTTTAGTTTGAATCAGGCTAGTTTTTTCGCTTTTCATTTCTTGGAGCACGCATAGCCTAAGTTTTAAAGCAGTATCTAGACATATAACTCTATATGTTATTACTTGAAGGAAAATCAAATAGAAATTCTAGCCGTTCACCATCACCAAAACTACATGTAAACTCGTTTTCATACAAATTACATACTACCAACCTTCCTAATATTTGAAAACAATTTGAACATGTTAGACGGTCATGCATCAACAAATGTTACAATTTGAAGGAAAAAAAAAAAAAACCAATCATTGGAAACATAAATTTTCCATGTAAAATAAAACTTGCCTCTTCATGCACAGGTGTCAACTGAGGATTAGAAATGCTACTCCTAGTAAGATTTGGAGAATTCATGTCTTCAGCTTCAGACCCAGACTCAACTGTTGAGGCGTCACTGCTTTTCATCTAGCCCAAAAAATAAGCAAATTTTAAAACTTTCCAAGTAATAAAATTCCATTAAAATCTGTAAATGAAGAACTATTGTTCATTACCACAGGGCATTGAGGATTTGTATAAGCAACAATCTTTCCATCACTGTTTGAGACAGTAACAATTTGTCTAGCAGTATGTACTTCTCCACTAAGGACCATCTACACAATTAAAACAAATCAGAATCCAGACTATTATAATACTAGAAATAAAAGTAATGAGTTCTATAAGCAAATACAAACCTTCATTATGTTGGGGTCTTGCCATGGGCCCTTATCAGATTTCATGCATCCACCTTGGTCAGCACAGGTACAGGAACCACCAAGAAACTCAGGTAATTCACTGTGAAATTAAGGAGCAAAAATAGCTGAGCATAATACCAAGACACTAATATAAGTTAGTTTAAGCAAAATTAACTACCTTGAATCAATTACATCAAGAAGCCTATTCTGATACTTGGTTCCAAGGACCTGAAAAAAGTAGATATATGAGATTTTTCTTTATCATATATTCCTCTCATACCTCAAAGAAAATATGAAGAGTATGTGTGAAAGTACACGCACATTAATTTTTGAAGTTGTTTTGGGATCAAGGAAAGATTTCACTGTGTTCCACAGTAATTTAAAACCTGGTCCAGCATTGACGATAAACATTTGATGTAAAGTCTGCAAAAGCATTCAAACCATACAGTTCCTACTCAACATGATTGTCTGTATAGATTTGTGATAAATTCAATTTGATTCAAAAATAACGAAAAAGAATAAAAAATTAGTCAAAGTAGAAAAGAAAAAAACTTTGGCTTCGTGAAGGGAAAAATGAATACCTCTGGATAGTTGTCACTGTCAATTTTCTGCAGCTGCATAATCAACTCACGAGCATTCTTAGAAAAATTTTTTAATCCCTACATCGCAAATGTGACTTCATAAAGAACTAGGCTCATATAATCTTGTGGTATTTTATGGACAAAGTATTATGCATCAGTTAATACTACAGTAAGTGAGCTTTGAACATACCACGCCTTGAACATCAAGTATTGTTGTACAGGAGTCAATATGCCTTTTTGCAGCAATAGAGCATGCTGGAAATTTGACCTGAAAACATCTTTCAAACTCCTTCACATGATATTTCATATATCGATCCATGGTTGTCACTTGCATAACTTTGTTGGGATCTACTTTTCCTAGTATTTCAATGTAAACGGGCCTTCCCTGCTTATCAACTCCATGATAGGCATGTGGATAGTACTTCAGAACTTGATCTATTTCTGTATATTCAAAATCCTAATAAGCCGTTTACTGCAGTTAGCAATTGATCAGCGCATGTTCACAAATTCGAATCTAAATAAACAAAAATAAATAAAATAGACCTGTCACAGAGCATATTAGGATTTAATATTAAGTTTTTCCAATAAGTAATAGCAAACTTTCAATCAGGGAAGGAACTCGAGTATTATCTGAATTACTCTTCAAAAATATTGATACTGGAAAGCATAGAAACCAAATAATGGACGGGTACAATAGAACGATATAAAAAAGAAGAGACCCATCTATCAAGGAATGGACTACCAAAAAAACATCTCGGTAGCATAATAACAAGGGTGTAGCTTTCTGCCAATGCTGGCATGTAGTCTTACCCCTACATTGCGGAGACTTTGTTTCCAAGCTTTGAACAAAATTATATGATCGCAAGTACCAGATGAAAAGGACGATTCTACTGAAATACCACATAAAAATGACAATTCTATTTAAAAAGTCGAAAAAAAACTAAAATGTTAGACAGTCTTCGACAATATAAGGAAATTTATCAATCAAGGGGAAATGAAGCTCCATATTAAATAAAATAAAGATGAAATGTGAACACATTTCCATCAATGGAAGATAATATCAACTACTCTGAATAAAACTCCAAATACATTCTCAATATTCCTTAAAATCAAACTGTGGGCTCCGAAAATTTGCTCCTCGGCCTCTCCGCCGCCTCTTTCTTTCTTTTACGGGTCGTCGAGGAGAGTTGTAACGAGTATGTTCCGAGGAAAATTTTCAGAAAGCAGATTGGGTTTCAAATTAGACATTATCCAAAGATTTGGCCCTCATTGTGCAAAGACTTTATGATCTGAGGTTAAAGTTTCCTATAGGCGCAAGACCCTATAGTTAATTACCCCTTCCGGTAACGACTGAAAAATTTCGATTAAGGCTAGTCTTCAAACAATTACATAGTATATGGCATATAGTAGCAGCATGTTTAGGCATTTGAAAATTTAATATTTAAAATTAGAAATTTTACCACCTTGCACTTAAAGCAGATGGTGCGAGGAGTAATGATAGACCCGATCAAGATTCCCATGGTTTTGTCGTTTTGGGTCATCATGATCCCTGGTCTACTAGTCAGAGGAGGTAGTCGACCCAACTTGACAGAAGAATCTTTGTTGACAGTCATGAGTTGCTTCGTACAAGGGTACTTTATAGATCTGTAGTGAATATTTGTCTAAGGAGACAATTTTGAATCAACCTTACTAATAGAGGGTTTTGTACCCTATCGATCATATCCTATTGATTCATTACTTGATGATTTAATGCCATTGGAGAACATACAAGCTCTGACCATGACCGTAATTTAATGGTGCCAATTGACGGAAAAACCACTCGATCAGAGGGTCCCGGTGATAACCGTTTACCTGTGGTGCCATTTGGCGCAAAATTGTCGGTTAGAGGACACGTGTCACATCTTTACTGGCAAGAGATGGATTGAGAATGAATCTTAGAGATATCCTCGACCAGATATTTTCTTTTTGTGAGCTAAAATGATTTTCAAGCTTGTCCAACTCGGCAAACTATTGCGGAGGGTGGATGAATATTTTGCTTCAAGTGTTTTGGTGTTTTATTTCAATTTTAAATATTTTAATTTTGGTGACTTTGAATTTTAGATTTTTATGGGAATTTGGGAGACATTTAAAATATTTGTGGACTCCTCCGGTTGAGATTTTCTATTAACATGGTCATTATCGAGGTGTTTATGGACAATTTGATTCTCTCAATTGAATCTTGTCGACTCTGTTTAATTATTGACGAAGGATAGGGTTTGTCTTAGGCTTTATATCTTTATTAGTGAATCTTCCTTATAATACACCTTGAAGGCCGAATATAAAGCATAAAACAAATTTCCCGGTCAGCGCTATGACCGTATATTCCTTTGATGGTTCGAACCGTGTGGACTCCTATCCATTTATGTAGAAGGATCTGATTCGAACTTGAGTTTATTTCTTGACCCACACAGCATCCTCAGACATCACATGTGCGCATGCAGCATGCTCGTCGAGGCTTATGCGGGTAATCATATTTTAATGCATGAGGGGGGAGCATTTAGATATTTAAATATAATTATTTGCGCTAAGTGATTAAACGCTAAAGTTTGCGCAAAATTTCATTGCGTAAAATTTCATTTGAATGTTGAGAAACATCTTTTGTCTGCTTATACGAGTGTTATGAGTCTAATGACATTGTTTAGCAATATACTTTCTTATGGTGTTTACAGATCACGGGCAATGATAACATTCATATATAATGTATGGTGAACAATCGTTCATGATTTCAGAGCTAATGCCTCAGTAGTCTCAAGCCTCTCCTATAATACCCTGTCAATTTTCAAGGGACTGCAATCCTTTGGAGGTTCAACAATGAGGTATCATAATTTGATGAGATCGAAGAATTGATTGATGTACAATTAGATTTTTTTATTCACCTCGTCATAAGATAGTTTCCTCGAAGTATGAATAGGATAAAGCACAAGATAATTTTCAGTATCTCAACAATATTCTGGTATTTGATATTCAGATGGGACGGGGAAGATTCTCCTGCAGTCCTTGACATAATGACCAGGAGCAACCCCCTTCAAACTGCAGCTATAACATTTAACGATGCATGTGTAGGACATTGGATTGTGAAGCTTGATCTCTGAATATTTAACCTCCATTCAAATAGTACGATATTTCTCTAGAAGCCTCGATATTTCTATAGATATGAGATATTTTTGACATATCCTTCTTTGACTCTACAAAACCATTCAATCTTGCATGCTTAGTGTCAAAGTTAAGATCTTCTTGTAACATATCAGGGGACCTCCTCTTTACACCGTGTCACCCTTCTTTATCCCAACTGTCACCATCAGAATCTCTAAATTACCAGTTGGAGGGCTTAGTTTTATTGGATCAACTAAACCTTCAGCTCCAGCAAAATGAGTGTGTTTCTTCTCAGCATAATTGTTATACCAGGCGGGAGTAGGTACATCCGCATCAGAAATTTCGAATGAGGAACCTTGCTGCAAATATAACATGGTTAAACTCATATTTTGTGAATAGTAAGGAACTTTTCAATATGAGTGACATGTCTCAAATCTTTATGTTCATAAGGTTGCCTGCAATCATGATAGCAGTATCAATCATTTGTGGATATCTCATCACAAGAACTGCACATGGTATGATCACAAGGCAATAACATTAGTTGGTTCAAAAGATTCAAGCAGGTTATGCAATTGAACTCCAACTCCATGTTTTTTAGACAGAGGACCAACAAGTTCAGCAGTCAACTGATGCCCCCAGAAGTCGCCATCTTTCGATCTTCCACCATTTTCTTATGCAATTGCCAAGTTGTTCACTTTAAGCTTAGAGGCATAAGAAGGTTCCAATCCTATGACAGGTTGGATGCCTTTGAAACTACATTGTTGTTTATTGTGCGAACATCCTGGCATTCATTGCACATTGCATGCATATGTCTGCAGGGAGTATTATAATTTGCAGATAGGTTTTGTATGTTTGTTAACATGTTGATGTGAGCTACTAGTTGAGCTGCACTCGTTACTAGTTTCCTTGCACATGTTGGCTAGCAAATTTTTGTTCAATGCACATCTTTCCCTCCCGCTTGCAGGGTACTATTGATATAAGCATTGTATATTAATTGTACATTAACCGCTTGATCTTTGCTTGTGAGGGATTAGTGTATCTGCCTGCCATGAAATGGTTGTTGACTATATGAATGATCTAGCATCTGCTGCATGTTATTCGTCGTCATCCGTAGGTGGATTACAGTGCACGAAAAATCTCCTATAGTTGTTTGTAGGTATTAATGTTCATAGTAGCCTCTTGACTCTTACTTACATATGAATTGTCCCATCATAAGTTTCTTATTTGTATATCCACTGCAATCCCCTTGGATATGTTTGTAGGGAAGTCATTATACTTGCATTATGTCCATTATCATCATCCATATATGGTTTAGTGTACTCATCTACAGTGACATTAGTTGCATGCTTTTCATGTTTCGCTCATATGCATATCACTACATTTCTACCACAACCACTCATAAATAATTCATTATGTGCTCCAGAGCTCCTTCGATATGTTTGTAAGATAGTTGTTATATCCACAATACATTTGGCATTATCCCTTTCAGATAAGCTAGTGTATTCATTTGCATATCGACATTAACTGTCAAACATGTTGCATTTAATTTCTTCATGCATATAGGCTGGAAATTCGACATTCTTTGCACAATTATCTCTCCTGCTTGTTGGGAATAGCTGATGTGAGTGCTGCACGTCGACTATTCGATCATTGCTTGATAATAATTAGTGTTTGGAATTTCATCTATCACAAGTTCTCTATTGTTTATTAATATTCATTTGAATGACTTGAATTGTTATTCAGCATTTGCGATTTCAATTTTATTGTGCATTTTAAAGTTTAGGAACTAGTTCCATGCTGTTTATTTTAAGTTTTGTTCCCTGCATTTGTTGAAACCAAGTCTCTTGTCAGTCGGAATTTTGGCAGCATCCCAACGTCTCCTCAATTTTAGAAAAATTTGAGAAGTCTTAGCCTTCCCACCACGTCAAGAAAGATGTGTATGGACGATGTCAAATGACATCACACCCGTAATCATTAATCCCACCACGTTAAGAAAGGCGTGCATGAGTCTTCAGGGGTACCTTTTTAAAAATGCACAATTCTTTTCCCACAGGAACTAAGTAACGTACACAGATACTTAAGTTTTGCCCCGCTACGCTAAGAAAAGTGTGCACAAAGCTTATTTGCCTCGCCGTAAGAATTGCAACGAGTTTCCTCCCACCGCACTAAGAAAAGCGTGCATAGGTAGCTGCTCGCCGCACTGTAACCATCGAGGCAGGATTCGGGGGGGCTTAGTGACATTTATACCTTTGTAAGGAGGCACAGCGGCGGCGATATTAGCCGAGGACGATGATGACGAAAAAAAATGTACATCTATATATTCTTTTTTACTTAATAATACTAATGTAAAAATAATAATTGTTGCGTCATAGAGTATTCACGGCGGTAGAGAAATATAAAGTTTAACATTTAGCTTTTGTACGAAGATTCAACACGCATCAGATAAAAGGAGAGATAGTGCAGTATTCATAGGAGACCAAAATTTTTACGTGAAAAACCCTAAAAAGGGAAAACCATGGGGTCTAGCCTAGTTTGAATAAATCCACTAGTATTTGCAGTTGATTACAAATGAGGCCCTTCATAGGAAGGAAGGTCATGACTTTATGTAACAAATTTACATCATATAGAGTGTGTTACATGGTGGAAACAGGAAGTCACTGTTGATGTGTTTATTTGGTCGGAAGGACCGTAGTCGGTGGGCGACGTAAGTCGGAATGATCATGGTCGGCGGACAATGAAGGTCATAAAGACCGTTGTCTGATGACGGAGGTTAGAAGGACGGCGTCAGGTAGAATTCCAGCGTCGGATAGAAGTCCGGAGACGAGCAGAAGTCCGACATCGGATAGAAGTTCAGTGTCGGGTAGAAATCTTAAGACGTGTGGAGGACTGGTGTCAGGTAGAAGTCTGACGTCGGGTAGAAATCTAGCGACGAGCGGAGGCGGCTGGGAAGAACTTCGGCATCAGATGGTATTCGGGCAGAACTCCGGCGTCGGTAGGCTGCCGGGTGGAAGTCTGACAGTGGTCGAAGAAGAGTCTGGTGACAAGAGAAGTTTCTTTCTTGTCTTCCTTTTCTTTCTTCTATTCTTGCTTCCTTGATTAATTCCCGCGTCAGTTGGTGATCGGGCAGAACTCCGACGTCGGTAGGCTGCCGGGTAGAAGTTTGTCGGTGGTCGAGGAGTCTCTTCCTTGCTTAATTCTATTCTCTTCTTGCTTGGGCCTCCTCCCCCCCGGTTCCCCTTCTATGAAAAATGAGAGGTCTATTTATAGTTTTCTAAGAGTGACATGACCATTAAATAGCAGGAAGATCAAGGGTAAATTGTGAGTGGTTTGAATGGATGACTGATGTTGAATTTTTTGATCATAGACCGTTTATTGTGTATTTGAATATCTTATTGATATCAGAATTCAGCGATCTTGGGCTCGTTGGATTCGTCTCGCCAAGCTGCTCGATTCGACTAAATGCATGTCGTGTTTGAAAATTGTTTGATAATCTTAATTATGGTTTGAACCTTCCGAATGTGCTTTGGATCTTTGATTTGGAATCATTTGGGCTCGGATTGAGTCGAATTTGGTGTCGTTGGGTTCGTATTTCCAGGACGTTCAGTTCGACTATAAGTTTTTTGAAATCGGAGTTCAGATGATCCCGGATTTAATTTTTGAAGTTTTCAACTTGATTTTTGCTTCGAGATTCGTGCCCAATCAAGATAATTTTTCGATGATATATCAATAATATAAACAGAAATAATGATCTCTCTCTTAGGAGAAGATGAATGGTGAATTGGTGATTTTCTGTAGGAATTTGGTTTAGTGGGTTTGGAGGGGATTTTGAGTGATGTTGCTGTAGATGTAGCTTAGGTTTGGGTTTAATTTGAAGTGAATGGGTTGTAGGTAGAGTGATTGGTTTCAGCAGAGGGATTCGACTTCAATAAGGAGGTTCGGCCTGTGTTCGAACAGGAAAGGGAGATGGGTGATGGGATCGGAAGATAGAGAGCTCGTGGGCGTCGGGTCGGAAGGCTATAACGGCTTGTAAACGTTGAATTCTACCTACAGACGTGCGGAGACAGTCGGCAGGAGCTGGAGATGTTGAGGTCGGGTTTCCTGGATGGTCCGAACCTCAGAAATTGGGAGGTTTCGGCCAGGATTTGCAGCTAAGTTGGGACCGGTTGCTGCGTGGGTCGGGCTTGGTACGGGTTTGGTTCGAGTGCAGGGAGAGGGAGATCGGTTCAGTGAGGAGCCTTGCTTGAGGAAGGAGACGGGATTAGAGTTGGGAAGGGATCGGCAAGTTGGATCGGTAATTTGGCAGAGGGTTTTTGACCAACTGTAAACAGAAGATCGGTTCGCTGTGTGAGGCTCACGACTGCTTTGCGAGTTGAGTCGATATAGGACTACAGGAGTGTGAGCGGAGGGTCAGTTGTTGCGACTTGTGAAGCCGATCGAGTAGAAAGAATCGGACTAGGTGCGGCTTCGGAGCGTCAGTAACAAAATCAACCTCTTCTACTATTGGAATTAGGGGTGTAAGTGAGCCGAGCAGGCTCATCAGCAGATTCAAGCTCGACTCTTTTATGAGCTCGAGCTTATTGAGCTCACGAGTCAAGCTCGAGTTCAAATTCGAGCTCGTTTGCTAATCGAGCTCGAGTTGGAGCTTCATTAGGTTCGGCTCGAGCTCGAAATTATTAAATCCGAATATTTTTTAAAAAATAGAACTAAATAATGTATAAATCATACTTAAATTCCCGTCAGTATATATATGGAGAATTCAAAATGAATCTCATTTGGTTGCCCCTCACTCTCTCTTTGACAATAATAAATGCTAATAACTCTCTTTCTCTGACAAAACCCAAAAAAGCTGCTATCTCTCTCTCTCCATTTTTAACTTTTAAAAAAGTGCACGCATGAAGCCGAAACAGACCTCACAGGAGGCTCGACATACGGTTCGGCGAGCGGCTCGAACTCATTTACGTTGGAACGAGTCGAGCTCGAGCTCGAGCTTGGTATTTGACAATTGAGCTCGACTCGAACACCCCCATACTCAAACTCGACTCAACTCATTTGCACCCGTAACTAGAATCCAAGCATTGAATAATACTCTTAGTTAATGCAGTGGCCGGGAAGTACCTCAATAATCAATCAACTTGTAAATTACCTGCAAAATAGTATCAACACCGAAGTCCTTCCTCCACTGAATCATATCAGCCCACATGTGCTTAGCTTTCTCAATATCAAATTTTCTTGCCTTAAGAAATCTGCAGAAGTAAATCGGGCTTATTTACAGGGCCATAATCTCCAGCAAAAATTATTATAAACTGGCCATGATTATAAAAAATTAACATGCAGTTGAAAATTTTGGTATAAAATAAACAATATTAACTGAGGGCATCTCCAACCGAAAATCCCATTTTTCATTCCAAAATACAGTGAAACTAAAAAATATCGTGATTCATCTCCAATCGAACTCCTTTTTACTCGCTTTTGCGAAGGTAACCATTTTTCTCCTCTTTCGCGCTTTTCTTCGACAAATCCGGTTGAGACAAAAAAATCGCGTAGGTGAACAGTTGGCGTCGCAATGTTCACCGTTGGCGTCGCACTGTTCACCGTCCACCAATTAGCGATTTTTTTGTCGTTCGAATTGAGCAAACCAGCTACGCCTTACAATCGTTTGGAGTTCAGCTAGAGATGCCCTAAGCAGCGATATTGCTAAAACACAGACTTGAAGAAATAATTTAACATATAGCTCTCTCCAGAAACACAGAAACTATAAAAACATATAGTATGGATACTTCACCAACGCAAGATATTATGAAGCAATTTGAAGGCACAACTGGACCTATATCTGAGAGGATTATATCGGTATATATCATTGTCATAGATTAGACATTACAAGAGAAAATGATTAAAAGATTGCCTAAGCTATCTACAATACTGTGAAAAACATATAACAGCAATTGTAGGCACTTAAATGCAACTAGTCTTAGTTATAAATCTGCATTGAAGACTTCACAACTTCATTGAAATCCAATAAAGAAAAACGTTGAGGAGAAGATGAGGATTTGGTGTTTAAAAGGGAGGGTTTTGAGACTTATAATAAAGAGGACCGTTAGATTCACGTTAATGGTTCATGGGAACAAAATCTCACCCTTTTTAGGTTTTGCTCTTGGAAGTTGTAAATGCAGAACTTCTCTTTAAATCATTAAATTATATTTAAAAAGAAAATTAAAATGTTTATATAGAACTTAAGACGCCTTTGTAATAAATCTAGTCTTCATATAAAAATTAATCATGACCACTGACTACAGGTGTATTTGGATTTTGGATTGAAGTAATTGGGGGGAATGGAAATGCCATTTAATTCACAATGTCATATTCATATTGAGTGTTTGGTCCCAATTTAATTAATAGAAAATTAAATTTATGAATTTGATCTATAGTCAACCTCTCAACGCTATTGCGTAGGCCCACACTGAGAGGCTAGCAAGGTTAGAATAGGTTTTAAGAATTTCTCAAAGATCACTATTGATTTTTCAATAAATTAAAGGTACCTTAGTCATTTTTTCACTGTGGATGACTTTTTGGACTCTCCCATTGCTGTTATTGAAAGTTCTTTCTTAGTTTTTCTATTCCTTCCTCTCGAGCGTGCAAGTGATATTCTATGTTTTCTCTATGCCCAAATGTTCTATGGGTTGGCTGTTTTGGAACTGATTTCATGATTAGCTAGATGTTTTTGAGTTTTAGATTTTTGTTGATCTCGTAAGTATTCCAGAGTCGTCCCTATCAAATACGGAGAAAAAAGTAAGTGATGGGCGTGATGACACCCATTGAGGAGAATTTGAGATTTTCGATAAGAGTCTTATTTTAATCTTTTTCTTCGCAAACTAAGTTTGTGTTCGAGTTTATAGGATTGAAGGCTTGAATATGGAGAAATCGTTTTGAGGCCAAAATATTACATAAGGTTAATTTTTAGTTTTGATTTGCAAGTTAAGAATTTATATTAAATTAAGAAATGATTGTTCTTAGGATGTTTATGAAAGAGCAAAACGTCAAAGCAATAAAAATCAAGAAATTCACCTTGAAAGATATCCTATAATTTAGAGAGCAAATGATTCTTAGGCCTAACATTTGTGAATTTCTATAATTCCATTGAGCTACTCTGTGCATGCAAATAGATATTTCCTCATGTTGATCCTGACATGATGATATTAACAAGCCTAATGCATTTGTTAGGATTACCTGTTTAGATAAATTCATTATATTTTTAATTGACTCAATTCATAAAATTGTTGATAGAATATAATGTTGACTTCTACATATCATATCTACCATTGATGTATGTTTAACAAATTAAATAATAACATGCGAATATTAATGCTAAGTAATTTTCAATAGTGCTAATTTTGATATTAAAGTGAAAGAAGGAAAATGAAAGGTCATATCATGTGAGATAGGTTGACAGACCATGATGACTTACACAGGTAGGTAAAAGTTATGACAAAATATGTCTCAATAGTAAAAAAGAAAGTTCTCAACTCTCGGTACTGGAGGTTAATAATAAAGGGATCAACATTGAGATCGATGGTCATTGATATGTTGAATTGTCAAAACATTATCAATAGTTTTTAGGGCTGATGAGCAGGTGAAAACCAATAATGAATGTGATAAAAGCCTACGGACATTGTATGATATTTCAAAAAAATTAATGATAATAATGAAAATGAAAATGAAAAGGGATATATTAGGTCATAATTTCTCAGAATGTCTCAGGGTAGATCTAGATCGACAAAAACATAACAATCAAGGCTGTGGGGACCTTTCATTTGAAAAAAAAAATATCTTCTAATACTATGGTGGCAGGTCAATCTACTTTCCATATGGTTTGTGTTAAAAAATGGGAATCACCTTTGGACATTGGCTTGGCATCCATTCCTTCCCAAGTTGTTAACCTAGTCAATGTGCCTACTCATATGTATAGTGCTCCTATTCCTATTGGGGTTCTTGCATTTCATGGGATAAGAAAATGATCATGCCTTTGAAAACAAAGATTACACATCACCTTAACATTATGTGATAATCATCAAGTTTTGCAGGCAAAAGCTCATCCATGATCAGTGATTGACGAAAGGCATCAACTGCTTGTAGTTCCACAATGTCCCTTACATCTTCAATTGAACCATGGACACTGCTGTCACTGTTCTTCTTGCTACTTTTTCTTCTCAAAGAATGTCGGAATCTGTTCGATGCACTTATTGCCCTTTTCCTCAGAGACCCCATCCTTGTCCTCTTATCGTCTTCTGAAATCTCCAAATCTGACTTCTTCTCTTTTCTTTCATCATGACCAGAAACTCCCTCAGAGCCTGCAATGCATTTGAGAAATCAATTCATTGGAAAAAATTTCGAGAACAGGTCGTAAAAAAATCCTTCAAATTATGTCAACAGATTGGCATGTGCATAGAAAAGGAGAAAACAATTTATCAGAATGAATTTGTTACTTCAATTACAAAAAGAGAACCATTTATGTCTTTGAAAACTCAGGTAATTAATAATTCACTCACCAAATTAACTTGCATAAATAAATCTCAGATAAATTTTACTACAACATGATGTTTCAATCATAGAACATTTATATGGTAGTTATTTAACAAAAAGCTTAGATATCCAACATCAGTAATTTATTTCAGTTCAAGATATTGATTTGAAGCCACAATTTTTTAAACTAAGTGAGCTTTTTAAGTAATCATTATTCGAAAACATAAAAGGTTACATCTTTGTTTGATTCAACTGTAATAATAGTACAAACATGTTTATATAAAGGCAAGAAAGAAGAGCAATAAGGAAAATACAATAAAAGGAAAACTCTCCATAAGAAGGATATATTATACTAATAAATTATATAGATTATTACTTCAAATATTAGACCTATACTCTAATATTTATATGGTAATAAAAAATTCCAATATGACTATAAATAACTCTAATAATTCTAACAACTACTCACAAACTAATAATGCTGCTACAAGAATAATCGAAAAATTGCCAATAAAAAAGTGTAACAATGGAAGAGGATGAGACTTTACTGTCAACAAAGTTATCACCCACCATTGGCTATAAAATTGAAGCACGTCATAGATACCACTACTGACCCCAACAAGATTGTTGCTACCATTGCCAATAACATATTCGCCCACTATTCCAACAATATCGACACCTGACACCACTGATAAGGATGATGCATGTCATCGACATTGATGCCGACACCGACAAGGTTGTTTTCCACCTACACCAACAACATCGACTCCCACCATTAACAACCAAAATGATGAATATCATCAATACCAACACAGATGGCAGTAAAATTGTTGTTCGTCGTCGCCAACAACATTGAGACCCGCCATCGCCAACAAGGACGATGCAAGTCATCAACAACAATGTCGACTCCAATAAAGTTGTTGCCTACCTACGCCAACAATATTGATGCCTTCCATTGCCAACAATGTTGATGCATATCGTCAACAACAATGCCTATGCCAACAAGGCCTCGCCCAACATCACCAACAACATCGATGTCCATCGTCTTCAATAAGGATGATGTACGTCATCGACACCAACGTTGAAGCTAAAAAAGGTTGTTACCAGTCATCACCAATAATGAAATTTTCAGTATTACTAATCATCTTCATAGTCTAATCCCCACCATCAACCACACGACTCCCCAAATCTTCCTTCTTGTCATTGCATTCCTCATTCTCCTCTTTTGTTTTTTAAATCCCATAAACCAAAATCTAGTATACTCTTTGGCGAGATTCATCTCCTTGGCTTTCACCACTTGAGCTAAGCAGAGGAAATTCTTTTCTATAGCCAGAAACAAGTGGTGGATTAGCTACTCTATTGTCCACCTTAGCTTTGCATCTGTTATAAAGCACATCAAAGGAAAGTATTTTCCTTCCTCCAAAATTCATGCTGATATCACAGATAAGTTTGAGGTGAATCAAATCAGATATATTGCTGAAAATAGATATGTACATCCAAAAATCAGAGATTCCCCGCATTCCCCACATCATCACATGACTTGAATTATACATCTCCGATGAATCCTACAAAATTTTCCTCAAATACACTGCCAATTAATGGAACTCTTTCTAACCTCTCTAGCCACGCAGGCGAGCTCAAGATCTTTCACACACCAAATCCTCCTCGTGTTCTGCTCTGCTATCTCTATTCCACTATGATATCAAAGGAAGAAATGTTTTTTCTCGACTTGGATGAGTAGAGCTCAGAGATTTGTGGTGAAAGGTAGCTTGCAGTCATGTGAATGGGTGAAAATGGGAAGGTGAATGGGTGAAAATGGGAAGATGAATGTTCTTGAAAATCAAACTCTTCTTATAGAAGTTTCCCTTAAGTTTGAGGTGGACTTTTCTATCACACAACTAGCCCGATGCATTCCTGCACTTCAACCATCCAACTTGAATTCTACTAATAATATCCCCATCTATATCACCATCACTCCGAATAATAGACCCAAGATATCTAAAACGAGTACTTTTATTAATGACTTGATCGCACAAAGTCAAAATCTCCCTCACTAGATCTATTACTACTAAAATTACACTCCATATATTCAGTTTTAGATCCACTCAAACGAAAACCTTTAGACTCTAAGGTTGTCCTCCATAATTCAAGTTTACCTTCAAATCCCTCTATAGTCTTATCAATAAGAAGAATATCATCAGTAAAAAACAAACACTAGGGTACAACCTCTTGCAAATGCCTAATGAGAAAATCCATGACTAAACCAAAAAGATAAGGGCTTAAGGCTGATCCTTGATGTAATCCAACTAAAATAAGAAAATACTTTGTCATGATTAACAGAAAAATTCAAATATTTAATTTTACTCCCTCTTATGTATCTGTGCACGGTTGTCTAGCCAACAGACACCTAATCTAGAAAATGACTAAAAAAAATAAAGAGTAACGACTATGTCAAACAAAGACTGACTTATACATTGACGCTATACTGCCTTGAGTCTTGATTCTTCAATACTGCTCGGTATATACTATACCTGAACTGGTTAGTGACAAAAAAAATAACATGCAATATAGAGCGCAAGAATAAGTAAATGATCATCCAATAATATTTGTATTCATCAAAACACAAAGTCAGTTTCCTGAATTTCAACTATTACACTAAAAGATGTGTGGGCTCTGAAAATTCCATTTTGTGTGATTTCGGCCTCTCTGCGCCATTAGTTTATTTTTCTGTTAAGTGTGACGATGACGGTAGAAAGTTTTAACGAGATTAGGTTCCGGGGGAATTTTCAGAAGGCAGATTGGGTTTTAGATAAGAAACTACCCAGAGATTTCGCCCTCAATTTGTGAGGACTTTTTGATCTGAGTTCTGGTTTCCTATAGGCGCAAGCCCCTATAGTTTACCCCTCCCAATAATAGGAGAGAACTTTCGATTAAGGCCAGTCGTAAAAGAGGTCGAATAGGTTATAAACCTATCGTATAATAGCAATAATTTTAGAGTTTGAATTTGATCTTATGATTTAGATTTTGAAGTTTGAAATTTAGAATTTATCACCATAAACATAAAACTGGTGGTGGGGGGAATGAAGACGAGCCCGATCAAGATCCCATGGTTCCGTCGTCCCGGGCTGTCTTGATCCCTGATCTACTTAGTCAGAGGAGCTAGTCGACCCAACCTGACAGAAGGTACCTTATCGGCAGCCATGGGTTGCTTCGTCCAAGAATACCTTGTAGACCTGAGTTGATGTTTGTCTAAGGGGATATATATGAATCCACCTTAGCTAACAGCAAGGTTTAAAATTGCGTAATTAAGCCTCGAGGCGGTCTGAGGCGTAAGCCTCACGGACACAGAATTGCGTAAATGAAAAATTAAGGGTTTTAGCAGGAAAATAATAGCAATATTGTACCTTACAATAAAAACATCTAAATGATATATGAAAATAGTGGAAAATAAGAAAGTAGATGAAATAAAAACATCTCAATCCATGTCCTTTTAATCTCCTGAATGCTCCGCTCTGTGTTCTGCAGCTCCTCTTTTAAAATCCATGTTCGCAACTCATACATGGAAGGTGCCTTCAACCCTCTTCCATACAATCCTACAGACCGCAACATACTGAAGTAGGCAGGCGATGTAGCAACATTAAATGGTATTGCATTCTAAAAAAAAACCTCCTAATGTCCATGCAAACCTGTCGCCGACCCTCTATATAGTACCAGCTGCAGGCATCATCTCTGTTTATCCTCTATCCACTCCTAGAGTAGTCATATACTGATCCATAGGACCCCGTGCACCTCTACTATGTATAGTGGAGGAAGAGCCCTTTTCACTCTCGCTCCCAAAATAAGCACCATGCTCGACCCTTTCATCAAATTACTCCTGTTGTAAGTGTTTAGCAGTGGTAGTTTTCTTCATGTAAGCACTTATTTCTTCCTTCACATTGTCCGGCACTTTTGCACACGATGCTACGTTCTTGTGAGAGCATGATAAGTGCTCTTTCATGCGGGTTACTCCGCCCTTCACCACTTTCTCACAAAAATTGCATTTTAAATAGACATACGTTTTCTCGCCCCCTCCTACGTCAACTTGCACGCTATATTTCCAAGAGGGGTCACG